TGGTATCGAGAATTCCCACTAGCCGAGCCAAGAAAACGACGAAGAGGACCGAAAAATCGGACAGAATATGTTCCCAGGAATTCTCGCGACTCGCGAGTAGTTTCGCGACTCGCGACTCGGGTCGCGACCCGCGAGAAAAACTGGAGTTAAACAAGATTTCCGAAGAAGGAGTCGCGCCTCGCGAGTCATGGTCGCGACTCGCGAGATGAAGTCGCGACTCGCGGGTCAAGTCGCGACCAAGCCCCTGAATATCAAGAAGAAGACGACGCGCGACTCGCGAGGAAGTCGCGACTCGCGACCAAGACAGAGACCATCTCGCGACTCGCGACTCAAGTCGCGAGTCGCGACTTAACCGACGCATTTTTCGAGGAGCGGGATTTTAATGCTGTTTTTGACCCTAGGGTTCATTATTCACCATTCCAACTTTGTTTTTACGTTCTCTCTGGAGAAAAACCCATTCCTTTTCTTCTTTTGCACTTTTGATTGGTTTTGGAGATTGAAAAACTCCTTTTCTACGCTTTGGATCTGGATTGTTCATTGAATTTGACATTGGATTCTCTATATAAATCGTAAGTTATTTTTCTCAATTCCTTTGTTGATGATGATGGCTTGGGTTTGTGTGAATGTTAATGTTGAATTCCATATGAGTAGCTAAATCCATTCGCTAGGGATAGGGGATGATTGATTAGGTTCGTTATAATTGAGTGCTTTTGATTGTTCATGTCTATTCGAGTTGTGTGAACCATAGGGTTAGAAGATTGATCACCTTTCTAGCCTAGATAATCAACGTGTAGAACCGAGAGGGGAGACGTTGGTAGAATTAGGCTCGTTTAGAATAGATTTGTTCGGAAGCGTATAATCTATGAGTTGTTGGACTTGATAGTTAATCGTTAACGTTCACTCTCTTGTTACGAAGAGTTATTGAGAGTGAACCTCTGAACGAGAAACGACTCAAGACCTTTAACCGAGCAATCAATTGCCGGTGATTGTGTTAGAACCGAAAGCAATTATCCCCGATTCCCTAGCACTTTATTCATTCAGTAAATTCATTAGCTATTTGCCTTCATTTAATTTAGTTCGCATCAGTAGTTGGTAATTGAAACCCCAAATATTGAAATAGAGTGTTTAGGATTTTTATCTTCTTTTGTGATTGAATAATCGAACAATTATATCCGGCTAACCTTCCTTGAGAGATCGACCCGGGAAACGAATCTTTCGATTCGGTACTCGGTAAAAATATATTTTGCTACAACACTCTCATCACAACCTCTCTCCGGGGCTACTAATCAACTGCTTCTACGACTCTCTCCATCAGAACTTGTAGTATATGGTTGACAATGCGGCAGAGGGAGATATCGGAGCAAAAACGGCTAGAGAGATGTTCGATATTTTCGAGACGATGAGCACGAATTCGTCACAGAAGAGCAGCCGAGGAAAGAGAGTGACAGTAAACGAGGTCGGGCAGGGCAACGATGTGATGGCCCAACAGTTAGCCGAGCTCACAGAGCAAATGCGTTTACTTAACGGACGAGGAGCTCAACCGGTTCAGACCATGGCCGTTGACACGTATGGGGCATGTGGAGTCCCAGGGCATAGGTCTGAAGTGTGCCCTTCAGCCTTCGATCAGGAGTTCGGTGAGCAGTATGGAGATGCCAGCGCTTTACAGGGATACCAAGCCCGGCCTGACAATGACCCGTTTTCAAACACGTACAACCCAGGATGGAGGAATCATCCCAGCTTCTCTTGGTCCAACAACACGAACTCCCTTCAGCAACCCTGTCCGAATTTCATGCAGCAGCAACCTTGACCCAACTTCATTCCCCGTCCGAACTACCAGCAACAAAAGTAGCCGAGAGGACCAGGAGCCGGGATGCAAGCACCGGGACCCGGGCCGAGTTCATCCCTCCAGGATGACAAGCTCGACAAAATCCTCCAATTTATGGCCAACAGTGAGCAGCGGAGCATCAATCATGAAGCCTCCATCAAGCGTATTGAGACACAGTTGGGTCAACTGGCCACACGGGTCGGAACCATCGAGACTGAATTGAACAAAGGGAAGTTGCCTAGTCAGCCGAAGCATGTGAATGCAGTGACGGTGATCTTGCCCGACATTGAGGGAGAGATTGTAGGCGACAAGAAGAAAGAGGAAAAAGAGGGCCCGAAGAAGCAAGAAGCCCATTTGACATCGCCAGCTGAGCCAACCTTACACAAATCTCCGAACCCATACAGGCCGAAGATTCCCTTCCTAGGCCGACTTTTGGAGGAGAAGAAGGAAAGAGACCTCGGTGGGTTTGTGATCAATATAGCTTTTGGGGGTGGGAAAGATGCTTCGGGGATGCTAGACCTCGGGGGCGGCATAAATCTGATGCCCCTCTCTATCTATCGGACATTTGGACTCGGCGGCCTGAGGCCCACCAGGATGCGTCTACAGCTTACCGATCACTCGCTCCGTTAGCCCGAAGGGATTGTGGAAGATGTCCTGGTAAGAGTGGGGAAGCTGATAGTCCCCGTTGATTTTGTGGTTCTTGATATGGGGGATGTTAGAGAGAACGGGTAATTGATTATTATTGGAACCCGGTTTGGGTAATTGATGAACTTTTTGGAAACCCGTTTTGGGAGTTGAAATTAGGCTGATGTTTAATGTTAAAAATGAGTAACGCCATAAGTATATTTGAAATAAATTTTGAAAAATTTAATCTGATTTTTCTGAAAGTCCGAATTTCTTTAAATTCAAAGTGGGGCGTTACAACCTATCCACCCACTAACCAAAATTTTGGGTACCCACCACCACTCACACCACAACCAACACGTCTCTCTCTCAATATCTCTCTCTCTCTCTCTCTCTCACACACACACACCTGCTGCCTGCTACCGAAACAAAAAAAGAAAAACTTGCGACCGTGAAAGATATCTCACCGGCACCGTCGCCGACCAACGCCGATTTCCCACCGGGACCCTGTTAGTGTTATATACTGAAAGCTTGGCTTTGCATGTTATTACACATTTACCCTTTATGAATGAGAATCATGTTAGATTAAACAAGTTCTACGTTCTGTTGTTCTGCACTTAGATAGGGTGGGTTGTCATCGGGCGAACCGAAGATCACTCTATCAGTCACCTGCGAACAAGAATAGTTGTTCACAACCTAGATGGACATGAACACCCCATCCGCACGGTTGTAGTGTCAACTGTACAGTTTGTCTTAACTGATTAGTTGCACTAGTACATTTATGTATTGAACAGGATCCCAGAGAGGAGAAGTTCATTTTATACTGATCGTCGTAAATGAACTAGGCCTCGGTTAATTACTGCGTTCTCTTAACCCGTAAGATATTAAACAGGCAGATATATATAATATATATTACTTTGATTCACATGGGTGAAGTTCAGTTCGATGGATTAATATTCCTACTGTTTTGGGTAATATTATTAAATATAGGATGTGCTGTTAGGATATTTACGGTCACCACGTGCGTTAGTTTGATGATGTCCCCGGAGTGAGTTCATGAAGGATTGTTATGCTAAACCCTGCAGGTGGATTAAGTTCCGGCATAATAAAAATGTGATGAACGAGCGCTAGCTTCGGTGAAATAATAATAAATTAATTAGTTCTTGATTGTCAGTAATCGAATTAATTAATGAACATTATATCTTAAACGTGGGGAGGTAAATCGAGTAATTATTATTGGAGTCTCAAATGTAATTTGAGCTAGGAAGAGGGAGTGCAATAATATAATGTTGGTGGCCCATTAATATTATTTAATTAATTAGAGGAGTGGGCTTGGCCCACAGTTAGTCTAATTAATTAAGGAGCCCTTTTCCTAATCTCCTTACGGGTTGTTTGGTTGGGGGTAAAAGGAGGGGAGGGGAGAGGAGGGGAGGGCATTTTTTATTTTTCCCTTGTTTGGTTGAGAATTTGGGATAGAAGGGGAAGGAAAATTTTAACTTAAAATTCCCTCCCCTCCCCATTTTTGCTCCCCTCCAAAAGTAGGGGAATTTGGAGGGGAGGGAAAATTTTAATGGGTTAAATTACAATCTTACCCTTCTTATATAATTTGTAAGTTTTTATTTATAACATCATTAAGGGTATATTTGTCATTTTAACATTATTTTCCCTCCCCTCTCATTTTTCTTACCAAACAAGGTTTATCATTTTCCCTCTCTTCCCCTCCAACGAAATCTCTCCAAACAAGGTAAAATTATTTTACATCACCTCCCCTCCCCTCCCCTCCCTTTCCCTCCATTAAAATCCCTCCCCTCCCTTTCCCTCCATTGAACCAAACACACCCTTAGGGTCTCTACTGTAGCTCTATATATATACATCATTAAGCTCATGAGAAGGATATAGTTCACATCTCACGTGAAACACGCCTCTCTCTCTAGATCTCATTCGAGCTTTATCTTCTTCTTGTTGCTGCACTGGTACAAGTTGAAGGGAGGTGTATTGAGTAATACAGTAGAAGATCTATAGGTAAACCGAGATGAAATATATTTTGACCTACATAACTAACCGCAAGTCCGATTGAGACGTACAGTATACCCAGACGACTGTCTCGACGAGAGCTTTCCATCATTGCCGACGTCGCCGGATTCCGACGCTGCACGCGCCCTCACGCACCGCCGGAAGAAGTCTAGCTGAAAAAATTTCGTTTTGATCTGTTTGCATCCGTTTGATCCGGTTTTGATCTGATCTTGTTCGTGCAACCCAAGACGTGATTTGCGGTCAATCAATTGCGGTCAATCGTTCGTGGTCAACCAGATCTACATAAATTTTAAGCCGTAAGTTCTCTACGTCAAACCTTTAGATCCGCTGCGCATAGGTTTACGTTTGCTATTGAATTCGTGACTTGTACATAACGAGATCCTCACAGATCCCAACAGACCCACCCGTCGCCCTTCCCACCGGCGACCCACTGCTCCGCCGCAGACGCCAAGCATCCACCATCGCCGGAGCCGCCAGATAGGTCTTTCACGAACACGCAGGCGGATTCTTCGCCGCCTCAGGCCAGCCTCCGCCGCCACGCCGTCGAGCGCTTTTCTTCACATAACATCGCATGGTCGTCTGCTCCACCAGCGCCATCGGATCGGACGATGTCGACATCATCGGGAATCTGTCGGAAAATCCGTCCCCGCCGTGAATGGGAACCACACAAATCTCCGAAAATTCCGACCCAATTCTCGGCCCTCCGGCGGGATATGTTTGATAACTCTGATATCAGGCGTGAAGAAGGCCGGCAACTCGGAGAAATAGGATATTCAATCTGAAAATTGAGAGCGGGCGGCCATCTGCATCTGAATATTTTATTTTATTTTTTTATTTTTTTTTTTGAGAATTTGAAATTTGTTATGGACCTGATTGCAATTTCAAAATTTTTGATTAAATTTCAATTCAACCCATGGGCTAAATCTATAATTATAAAAAATATAAAAAAACTATTAAATAAAAATATCAAATACTAAATTCATTTTATGATATAAATAATAAACTATTTTAATTATTTAAGTTAATTCGATTAACCAACACCAATATTTCGATCCGGTTTATAGTTTTTGAATCGTACATCAAAGAACCTACACTGCAGTATGCACGACAATACAAAACACGATGCACATTAGTAACTGTCAGAGTGCACAATAATGTTAGACCAAATGCACATTGGCATAACAATGTGCATTCCACAAATATAAAAAATTAGTTACTTCGGTCCGGTTTTGTTGTTATTTACAAATAATAATAATAATAATAATAATAATAATAATAATAATAATAATAATTAATAATAACATAATTGAGCAAAATATATAAAAAACATTATGTTTATATTTTATAAATAATATAATATAATAATAATAATATTAACATAATAAAAAGAAAAATTATAATACAAACAAGAATTTATTTCAAAGTATTTACGTTCAGTTTTAGTTCACATTTGCATATGAAAACAAAAACTTACAATGTGTTAAACATGATGCAATTAGTGAATATCAAAATGGACTATAATTTTTGGCGGAATTACAAATACTATATATATTTTTATCATAGAAATAATTCGAGAAATATATAGTAATGTTAATTTAAAATACACATCATCTAAATTCTTCCAAAATTGAAATGCACATAAAAAATACACACTCGATAGACAACACAATAATGTTATATTAGATGTACGTCTATTTATGTGTACTTGCGCTTTATCGAGTTTGGTTCTCGCATATCGATATTTCGTTTATTATACTTTTCAATAAAAAATAATACAAAAATTATAAATAAAAATAGTAACATACTAAATATCATTTTAACATAATAATAATAATTTCAATTATTTATGATAATTCAGCTGGCCGATCGAATAAATCAAATAATTCAATTCCGTTGCAATTTTATTTGGGACAAAAGTTCGTTCAAAATAATTTGCACAAAACCGGTCGGCACAGTGCACCGTTGTGTTAGAGTATTTGCACATTAATATCTGCTAGATTACACTTTATATTTTGCTTATATAGATTATTATATTTTTTAATAAGAAAAAAACATAATATAAATTATTAAATCAACAATATTACAACGCTAATTATGTTTTTGTAATACAAATAATATTTATTCCTGTTATTCCGAATCCAACGTCCTCTCGGTCGATTAAACCAAACCGACCGATGTTCCGACCAATTAATAACTATTTAATTTTGTAAAAATGTAACGAATTTTATAATGTGCTTGTAAATTTGCAATATCGTGCATATAATGTATTGTTAATGTGCGATATATTAAACTTTTGATAAATTACAAAACCGTCCCAATATTAAAGTACCATCTAATATAAGTTTTGAAATTGCACAAACACCCCAACAAATTGCTTAATTTTCATCAGAAAGCCCCAATACTCAAAATAAATAAATAAAAAAAAAG